TTTTTTTTTTTTTAACCTATCTTGGCTTAGTTGTTCTGCCTGAGTTTTTAAAAGATGAAGCTTCTCTCTCTTTCCTCTTTATATGATTTATTTCCATAGTTTCTCTTTCTCTTTTTCACACACACTGTCTTACAATTTTTAACATACCTCAATCCTTTTTGTAAACATTTCGCCGGCCCATTTTAGAGCCACGCCAAGTGCGCATTCCTCAGTGTTAGGCGAGGGCTGGTTTCCGTGCGCCCTTACTAATGTTCGGTATGGTCCCCACTTTTCGTTTTAGCTGTCCTAATAGCTGGGCTGTGATATCTCACCGTGGCCTTAATTGGTACGTCCTTGATGGTCAGCGAATTTGAGCATCTTTTTGGGTGATTATTTGCCACCCATACATCCTCTTGGGGAGATGTTTCTTCATGGTTTCTGCCCATTTTCTAAGTGGGTTTTATTTTTGCTCTTGAATTTCCAGTGTTGTTTATATCTTCCAGACACTAGTCCTTTGTTGCTTTGTTGGATATGAAGCTTTAAAATGTTTTCTCCCAGTTTGTATCTTGTCTCTTCATACCATTTTTTTTTTTAGACGGCGTTTCACTCCCCTTGCCCAGGTTGGAGTGCAGTGGTGCACGATCCTGGCTCACTGCAACCTCCGCCTCCTGGGTTCAACTGATTCTCCTGCCTCAGCCTCCTGAGGAGCTGGGATTACAGGCATGTGCCACTACGCCTGGCTAATTTGGTATTTCTAGTAGAGATGGAGTTTCACCATGTTGCTTCCCTGTGGGAAAAAGGGCTTGCAATGTAGACCGTGGGACAAAGTCTGGAAGTTCACTGACGCCTGACAGCGTCCTCCACTTCCAACCTGTCTTGCCTGTGAGTCAGAGAGGAACAGTGCTAGCAGGCAGTGAGCCCCCGTCCAGAGGCTGGCGTGTGAGGGGCACAGCTGTGCACACCTGGGCGTGGCTGAGCAGAAGGTGCAGGTCAGGATTCTGACCATGCAGACAGCCGCCCACTGGCATGACATCTGTGGCATCACAAGGCTGCCATGGGGCTCTAGGGTCCTCTGCCTGCCCCACAGGCCATACCCCTGCCCTGGGCACAGCTGTCCTCACTGCTGGCCTCTGACCCAACATTGTCCAGGAGCCCCGACCCAGGAGGTGCTCCCACCACTGCCTGCCAACCTGGACCTGATCCAGGCCCCTCCCACCTGAGGCCCTGCCAGAAACTGCCCGGCTGGACACAGAGGAGGTTCCTTCGTGGACACAGGGAAGAGCCTCCCATTGTCCCAGTGCAGGAAGCTGCCCGAGGGGTGAGGATGAGTCATGGGTTTGAGGAATGGCATG